AATGATGATGATCTATAAATAATATAAAATAATTAATAAAAAAAAATAATTGATAATGTAAATAAAAATAAATATAACGTAAATAAAATATAAATTTGCAAAACTAAATGAACAAAATAAATTATTAGCATGTTTTTTATCCAACGATTTTTTTAAAACTAAATAGATCTTTATCTATCTAAAAATTTGTTAAAGATTATAACTACAAAGAATTAAAAATAGAATTTCAATATCATTTCTTATTAAATATCCTACAAATTTTTCAAATAATTTTCAAATATATCTGGATATTTGAAAATCGAAAAAATCCAATATGCAAATATATTCACATAAATTTGCAAATTTATCTGAATTTTTTCTAAACCAAAAAATATCCAAATATATTTGCTCCCAAAAATTTTCTGATGTGGTAAATATATCCGAATATATTTGAGAATCGAAAAAATTTAAATATATGCAAATATATTCACATAAATTCACAAATTTATTTGGATTTTTTCGATTCTCAAATATTCAAAACAAATATATTTGAATATTTTTCGATTTAGAAAAAATCCAAATAAATTTGTGAATTTATGCAAATATATTTACATATATTTGAATTTTTTCAATTTTCAAATATATCTGAATATATTTGTCCCCAAAAATTTCCTGATGTAAATTTGAAAAACTATAATCCTTAACTCACCCTTCAGGCTTGTTTTACAATAAAATCTCTCCTTCAGCATGAGACAATATGATAGTATCAATTAGATTAGAATTTTTGGAGAAACAGTACTTTGTACTTAAGCTAGTTAGGAATATATCATCTATTACTTACATTCACAATTTTTATATAATCTAAAACATGGTAATGGTTTATGTGATATTTTTTTGCCATTGCATTTATAGCATCAGGTACCTTACCAATAGATCCTTTAATTTCTTGGATTGCCTTATCTGATAAATATCTTGTATTATGATATTCTTTATGAATGTAACCTATATCAGAGTTTTTGATATTAAAAAATAGAAAAAGTTCTGAAACATTTTAGTTATATTTATTGAGATATATATTTAAAAAATAAGAAATATTCTGGAATCTTTTAAAATATTCACATGTATTTCATTATATTCTATTATATTTAAAGATATTAGTATATATATATTCTGAAATAATTAAACATATTTTAATTTTAATCTAATTTAATATATGTCAAAATACTAGCTCCACTATTTGATATTTATTAACTAGAATTCTAATATGGAAGTCCACTATACAAATTATAGATAGATTCAATCTCCTTATTTCAAAAGTCATCAGAATTCTGATAAGTTGATGTAGTATATAATTGTTTCATGTTTGAAGTTTTGGATATATGATTTTTTGCTTGTTGTTTATGTTCATGATTTTTCATATACTCTATCACACAGGAAGAAAATATATGATACTTTTTTGCCATAGCATAGATAACATTGGGGCCTTTACCTGATAAGTCTTTAATTTTTTTAATCACCTCTTTGAATAAATATGTCAATTCAACTCTATAGTATTTACAAGAGGTATGTTCTACTTTTTATGTCTTATTCATTTTTTTAATATATTATCTATTATTTAATATGGTTAATGTACATATACTTCGAGATACTTATAAAGAATATAGGCTAGAGAGTATATGTGAACAAGAGCTGAAAAAAGAATTACATAATGCTATTAAATCCAAAGCTGAAATCAATAACCTTATCGGGAAATTACAAAATAAATACTTTAAGCAAGTAAAGGATTTTGATTTGGAAAGAAAGGGATGGAATCAGGAAAGAAAGTAATAGAAAAGCATATTTGATAATGTTAATAGTGATAAACAAAAGTTACATATCCATGCTTTAGAACTTATTGGTAAGACTAAACAGTTGAGATTAAAAATACTAACCTTATCTCCAAGAATATACACAAATATCTTTCTCTTGCTAAATTCAAGGAAGAGGTCACATTTAATATCTTCACTGGTTCTCAACTTTTTGATAAAAGGATGTATTGTATATCTGTACTTTTTCTGATCCATTTTTGATGATCCAATAATAAAAGCTCCACTGTTTATTGTTCCATTTATATTCTCGCTTATATTTCTATTATTATTTTCACAACTAATAAATTTTGGTTGGTGGAAGTGAATTGGAACTTTTCTTGCACATTTACTTTTCTAATAACATTCTACATTCACAATTTATAATGATATAATGGAATTTCATTTTTGAATGTGCATTGAGATTCAGGCCTTCATTTAATTCTTTCGAACTCCTTAAAGCTAACGTGAATGTGGACAGTATAATTTGTAACCCAATATATTTCAATTCCACTATGAGTATAGCCTCTGTATTCAACATATTTATGCTTATCAATATATACAAGTTAATTATAGTATGGAACCTCTATAATAGAAACTTAGAAAATCTTAGATTACAGGTGTTAAAAAAATTTTTTTTGATCTCTCTTCACTAATTACTGAAGATAATAAAATCTGATGTTTAGCAGGAGTTTATAAATTCGATAGTAAATTCAGGTATTAGTAAAAAACTTGGAAAAAAGTTTATTTTATAGTGATTCCTCATCTTCGTCTTCAACTGATTCTGAATGATACAATAGTTCTAATAATGAGCTTGATGTACATATAACAAAAAGTAAAGAAGAGTAATTAGTAATTAATTCTCGTTGTCAAAAATTTCTCCATATAAATTCATGATATTATCTAAACCACTACTCTCTATTTTGGGTTTAGGTGATCTCCTTTGATATTTTTATGCACAAGTTCACATCCAATGGTTCTATAAGGTATGCAAGTATGCCTCAAGACTAGAGATGTAGACAGATCTAATTAATTTCACCCTGTGTTGTCAATTTTGCTTTTTTGACTGTCCCCAAGTCCCATGTCTCAAGTCCCATGTGCCAAGTCCCATGTCCCATGTCCCACTGTCCCTACTCTTAACTGGTCTATAAATAGATATTAAAATTTTGTAAATAATTAATAATTCGAAATAAATTTTTATAATAAAATTCCACCACATTCGCATGATTTTCTAGTATATATCTTGTCCACGCAGATTGATGCCAATTAATTTAGGGTCCATCAAATTTTCCAATTCTGCGTGCATAAATAGTAATAAGGATATATCAAGTTTGCGTGGTCAAAAGAAATAGGATATATCCTAAAAATTTCATGCGAATGTGCTATAAAATTCTGTGTTATTTACGTTTAAAAAAATAATTTTTGTGTCCCTTGACAACACTGTAGTTTTACTTAGTAATACTTAGTATTATATTGGTTATTATTGATGCATTACAATAGAGCTGAAAGAAATTGTATGTTAAAATTTATAAAAAATATAAAAGGTAAAAGCAAAAATAAAAATATTTCGCGAGCAAAAAAAATATAAATAAGTGATAATTTGGTCAAATGATTCAAAGCTCCAATTCTCAAAAGTTATTGAAACTCCAGAAATTATTTTTTTTGATACATGACAAAAAATGATGTCATTTTAGTCTCCCATGGTAAAATTATATCATTTTTTTTATTCACTTAAAAATTAATAACAGAAAATAAAGTTATTATTATAATATTTACATTTGCAATTCCTAGGCTATTGGCCCTTGAAAAATTTTTTAACTCCCCAAAAATACTATATATCGTAAATAATCTATGTTACATTCTTTTTATTTTGATATAAAAAAATTGAATTCACTACATTTTGTATTTTTCTTGATTCTTTCCTTTTGGCAACATCCGCTCAGAGAAGAATTATTAATCCTAAAAAAAAAAAGAATAGTAAAAGATGGGGTTGAGTCCAGAGGAACTCGTAGATAACAATTAAATTATGTAATAATTTTAAATATTAATACAATGTATCGATTGCATCCTAAAAAAAAAAAAATTAAAAGAGACGTTTTTCATATCTAATACACAAAATAAACAAAAATAAGTAAAACAAATAAAATGATGGTTAACATATAAATAAATGTTAACGGTAAATAATTGTTAACAAATAAAATGTTTGTTAACAAATAAAATGTTAACAAATAAAATGTTTGTTAACAAATAAAATGTTTGTTAACGACAAAAATAATTGTTAATAATAATTGTTGATAAATAAAAATAATGTTAGAATAAAGTTTTAAATAAAGTTTTAAAGAATTAAATTCAAACTCGCCAAATTCATAAAATTCTCAAATAATAAATTTTAAAAATTACTTACGAATATAATCCATGTACATTTCCTTCAATTTGAGCGGCCGCGGTTCTTAGTTCAAATCTAACTTTACCAGAATCAACTTCTTCTCTCAATTGATCCAAATTTTTAACTCCAATATCCTGTAAACCATGTTGTAAACCGGTTAATAAATAAGGTACGAACTTTCTAATACTGCCTTTATCAATGACTGCTCCAGCAACTCCTTGAGCAACCTTGACAACATCTCTTTCAGAAAAATATCTTGCTGCCGCATTATTATCAGGTTGAGTACGTTTACTTCCTACACGTTCCATAGCATCTATAGAACCCATGCCTCGATATTTTTTTAATCTTTGACCTTCACGATAAAAATATTCACCAGGAGATTCCGTGGTCCCAGCAAATAATCCACCCATCATGACAGCTGAAGCACCTAGAGCCAAAGCTTTTATAATATGACCAATATTTTGAATTCCACCATCAGCAATTACGGGAATTCCAAATTTACTAGCGAATTGAGAAACTTTGTACACTGCAGTTCCTTGAGGGCGACCTACAGCCATAACTTTAAAATTAATGATGATATTATTATTATTATTATTTTCGATAAATTTAATAATAATAATAATTAATTTAATTATTGAAAATAAAAAATAAAAATAAAAATAAAAATAAAAATAAAAATAAAAATAAAAATAAAAAATAAAAAATAAAAATAAAAATAATTACGAACTTTCTTGAGTAATACATATACTTCCGCTTCCCATGCCAACACGTAAAGCATCAGCACCTGCTTCAATTAAAGAAGCAGCTTGTTCTCTTGTAACAACGTTTCCAGCAATTATATCAAGTGAGTTACCATATGTTTTTCGAATATGATTTATCATTTCAATTTGAAATATTGAATTTCCTTGACTAGAATCTAATACTACTATATCTAATCCTGCTTCAACCAATTTTTGAAGTCTAGCTTTATCTTCCGGACGAGATCCAATAGCTGCAGCACAAATCAATTGCTTTGAATGAGGGGATTTCGAAGCCAGTGGAAAATTAAGATTCTTTAGTAAATCCGATCTGGAAAGTAAAGAAACTAATTCACCACGAGCATTAATAATAGGTAATTTTCCGCGTTTACTTTTTCGAAGAATTGAATTTGCATCTTCCAATGTCACGCCTTCTTGAGCGATCACTAAATCAGTTGTCATGACTTCTTTGAGAGGAGTTGTATGATCTTTATGAAATTGAATATCACGAGCGGTAACGATACCAAGAAGTATACTATATAATTTTCCGTTTGCTAAATAATATATATATAGAAAATGTCACAGGAATGAGTCATGTGAATAATCAATATTAAAAATTAGGGGAAAAAATATATTTTAAATTATAGATTGAATCAGAATGCAAAGAAAAAAAATATTCCACAAGGGGTTTTTACACACGCCATTCGGAAGAACGAAAGTTATAATTTTTTTAAGTGATCATCATATTCAAATTAAATAAATATTAATCTTATCAATAATGAATGAATGAATTATAAAAAAATAATAAGAATTAGATATAAATTACCAGTGATGGGAATACCGCTATAACCGGATTGAGCTTTAATTCTGATCACATCAGCTACGGTATGATTAGGAGTTAAACATACTGGATCAGTGATAAATCCATTTTCAAATTTTTTCACTTTTAGAACCATTTCAGCTTGTTCGTCTGGACTACAGTTATTATGAATTACACCGACTCCACCCAATAACTAATATTTTAAATCAAATTATTATTTTTTTATTAAAAAAAAAAAAAGAGAAAGAGAGAGATATATATAAAAAAAGAAAGAGAGAAATATATATATATATAAAGAAAGAGAGAGAGAGAAAATGAAGGAATTGACAAAAGATTAAGAACTGGACGGCTTAGTAGGGGGGATAAATTTTTTTATTATTGACTGATTTAGATAGAATAGAACATGAATAATAAAATTTTTATAACTTACGGCCATATTTATTGCCATATCAGCTTCAGTAACGGTGTCCATAGGTGAACTCATAAAAGGAGTCTTTAAAGTGATATTTCTTGTAACTTTTGTTTCGAAAGTTACTTCTGATGAGGGAAATCCAACGTAACCAGGTAAGATAAGGAAGTCATTATAAGTTAATCCACCGTTACTATGCAAGTCCATAATTTCTTCTATCGATAATCCATCCGGAGATTCGTATGATTCTAAATAAGTTTTAGCAGTTTTAGAGTCAAGATAAGATTTGATACCATTTTCGTTAACCATTTTTAATGAAATTTTTTAATTTTTATTTCAAATTTTAAATAATTTTGTGGGGAAGAAAAAAAAAATCAAAATAAAAATTTTTTTTTTTTTGTGAGAAAAATCTCAGGTCCAGAAGAATCAATTAAATTAAATTAAAATTAATTAATTTGATTATAGTTTAAATTGTGACGATTTATAGTTTAATTTGTGATTGGGCTGTGAGAATTTTTTTTTATTAATTGTTATATTTCTATAGTAAGTATAATGAATTGAACCATGCAACCGTCCCTAGTCTTAAAATTCCATCAATAATCTATCTCGAGAAATGATTATTCCTTAATTTGTGAATACACGTAAATGCATTAATGCATCTTAATGCATCGGGAGGTGTTACTAAATTTTAAACCAAAAATTCAATAATATATGCTGAAATTACAGTATATACAGTATATCGTTATTCTCAAGAAACAAAAAAGAACTTTATAATTCTTGTCACCTTAGAAATAAAACACTATTGATTTATATTGATTTTAAATGTAAAATTAAAATTAAATTAAAATTAAAATAAAATTAAATAATTAAATAAAATTAGAATTCTTCTTCGTTTTACCAAATTAGTCAACTGCATATAGCCGATCTAATAGATTAGATACATCAATTGTATACTATAAATAAGAAGAAAAAGTATTGCTTAGAATGTATAAATAAAAGACAGTAGAAGACAATGACAATGACAATTAAGATAATATTAATAATTTATTTAATTTTATTCTATTGCCAGTTACCCTTGGCATATAAAACTTTATCAAAAGAGGGTTTAAAAACATTAACAAATACTTCATTCACCGAAACCTTAGAAACTTTTATGAACTATTTAACCCCAATATTGATCACTCGAGTTTCTGATACAGATGGAAACAGAAAAGTACAAAAGTTTATTAAAGAACATTTTAATAAACTTCATTGGAACATAGAAGAAGATACATTTGTTGATGAAACACCTTTTGGAAAAAAAAATTTTAATAATATAATTGTCACCAAGAATATAAAAGCCAATAAACGATTAGTTATGGCAGCCCATTTTGATAGTAAATATTTTAATCCACCAAATAGATTTGTTGGTGCAACTGATTCAGCTGTCCCTTGTGCAATGTTAATGGACTTGGCTTCCAGATTGGATTCATATCTTAAAGATAAGGACGAAGTGACATTACAAATAATTTTCTTTGATGGAGAAGAAGCTTTCAGATCATGGACTTCAAATGATTCACTTTATGGATCTCGGTAGGAAAGAAAACGATATATTAAATTTATTAAATTATTTATATTTATTTAATTATTTATATTAATATTAATTTTTCATATACCTTACACATACATTTATATATTCACATACACATATATTTATAGACATTTAGCATCAAAATGGGAGAAGACATATTTAGATATTCCAGAAGTTAAGACAAAAAATGTTCTTAGTAGTATAGAAGTACTGGTATTACTTGATTTATTAGGAGCAAAAAAACCATCATTTCGAAGTTATTTTCGGACAACTTCTTGGTTATTCGCTGAACTTGCCAATATAGAAAATCGTTTATATACCGAAGAAATTTTCACGATACCTGAAGATATGGATAATTTAAATGATGTTTCATATTTTGATACTTCCACCTTACATAATTATCAATCTCACATTGAAGATGATCATGTGCCATTTTTACGAAGAGGCGTATCGATTTTACATATTATTTCATATCCATTTCCAGAAGTATGGCATACGATTAAAGTATGTTGAATCTTTTATATATCATATGTCTTTCGAAATTTCTTCGGATATTTTTTAATATCTTTTTTTAATATTTTATTTTATTTTTTATGATTCATTAGGATAATTTAGATGCCATTGACGAGAATACCGTTTTCAATTTGAATACGATATTTAGAATATTTGCTGCAGAATTTTTAAACATTGATCCCGGTTCAATATCACATGATGAATTAGTCTAATATTTTAGAGTAATAATATTAAATATTCCGAAAGACTAATCTAAATTTACTAATTCATATAAAGATAAAATTTACTAGGTTAATATATTAATTTAGAATTACGACCGATTTTGGTTAATCATAATTAGCTGTATATTTGTTATTGTCCAAGTTTATTTATTATTTACGAAAGAGAGAGAACGAACAAAGAATAAAAGAGCCAAATTAGCGAAGTCAACCTCTGCCAAAAATGTAATTGATGTTTGTATATAGATAATTACTTTGAGTACTAATAAATCTATGTATTCGAAAATTCTTTATTTAAAAACATAAAGAAGTATATATTAAAAAGAGTTTAGTTTAAAAAATCCCAACAGGTAAGTGACACAAACTTAAAATATATGAAATAGATGTTAAGTCAATCAAAATTCCAAATGTATAAATATTTACATCATTATATTTTTAAATCATTTGGTCTTAAAGGTCTTAAAGTTTTTCGAGATAATAATAATTATTTATTAAAAGTTCATCAAAAAAATCAAAATTTATTTATGGCCAACTTTCATCAATCCTCATTCAATATTGGTGAAGAGGTTATTCCGATAACTACCAAATTGGACATTAACGTCGCGTCAGTTCTTGAATTTCAACCATTCAAAGAATGGACTTTAGCCTTGTCAAAAGAAATGTTAAAAGTTGATAAGAAAGAACTTAAAATTAAAAAAGTTGAAATTCAGAATGTTGATTATTTTGGTTTTAAGATAGGGTTCGTCAAATTTAAAGTGGACGCCATATTCACTGAAACTGGGAAGAGTGCACCAGGAATTATTTTTATGGTGATTTCTTCAAAAAAAAACATTTCATTCGATATTTATTATTTTATTTATTTATTTATTTATTATTTCTTATATATATATGTATATATATATATTTAGCGAGGTGGTTCTGTTGCGATTTTACTCATCCTTCGATCAAAAGAACGAGATAATAAAATTATAAAAGAACATGTGGTGTTAACATATCAACCACGTTTACCTGTACCTTCGCTCTCTTTTCCAGAGATACCCGCAGGTAAAAAAATATATCATCACATCATTAATTTAAGAAATTTGAAGAGAGATAATATTATATGTTTTTTATATATTTAGGTATGCTCGATGGTTCAGGAAATTTCGTTGGAAAAGCAAGTGAAGAGATTAAAGAAGAAACTGGAATTGAAATTAATGATCAAAATATAATAGACATGACCGCATTAGCATATGATAGTGAAAATAATGAACTTAAAGGAAAGGAATATCGAGGTGTTTACCCTTCACCGGGAGGGAGTGATGAATTTTTAAGATTATGTATATGTATTAAAGAAATGAATCGTGAAGATATTGAGAAATTAGAAGGAAAACTTTGTGGATTAAGAGATCATGGTGAAAGCATCACAGTTAGATTAATAGAATTAAAAAATTTATGGAAAATTCCTGATATGAAAGCATTATCAGCTTTAACATTATATGATGCTTTAAAAAGGAATGGGAAAATTTCTGTTTAATTTTAACTCATGAAAAAGATTATTTATCAAGAGAGAGAGAACTTTAAACCTTATATTTTGAAATTATATTAACATACATATATATACATATAATATCAAATTATACATATTTCAACACAATTCCATCCATTTAAAAATACATCACTTTTTTTTAAAAAAAAAAAAAAAAATTTGTTCCGCGCAACCCACTTTTTTTTTTAACTGACCACACTTCAATTAAAAATGAAAAAATAAAAATGAAGGGATCAAACTTATTGATAATTTTCAATGTAGATTTTTTACCATGTTATAATATGAATTTTTTTGGTAAAGAAAAAAGAAAAAGAATACAATAAAAAAAAGGAGGATACATAAAAAATCAAAAATTTTTCAAGTCCATGTTTTTTTTTCCTTTTGTTATGATTTGATTCTTATATATATATAAATATAAATACACCCCTCCTAATTCTGTATACACCTGACCTGATAAATAAAGCAACAAATAAAAACCGCCCCGCGGAATACTTCACCATCATTTCTTTTTTTTTTCCTGATTAAATAATAATAGACAGATTTTTTGGTTGGGTTGATGGAAATAAATCGAAAAACTTGAACTTAATAATAACAATAATAATTACAGTTGATGTAAGCTATACAAACATAAAAAAAAACAAATTTTTCTATATATGATTTTTTTTTTTTTTTTTAGGTCGAACAAAATAAATTAGTAAATTGTTTTTTTCCTTAAATGGTGGTGGTAATTTTTTTTTTGTTGCTTAGAATAATTTATATAACGGATTTTTTTTTATAGCGATAGAGTGGGAGTAGGAGTATTTCATTTATTTAGTTTTTTTTTTTTTTTTTTGTTTTTTTTTTTTTTGAAATTAAGAATGGTGAGAGATAAAGAGAGAAGCAAGGCCTGGACAAGATAGCAGCAGATCATCATTTCATCTCTAGATATTTATTAGGACGATTTAAATATGGACATTCGTCTCCTAAACGCTATTATTTCCGGTAGCCTCACCGAACCTCACCAATCAAATACACGTAATTTCAGACAAAGAAATCTGGACTCTGAATTATGAAATAGGTTTCCTCGATTTAAGCTAAATATATAATTTTAAATTTAGAAATTATCATATACAAGAGATTATAAAACGAATCATTAATAAAAGTTCCCATTTTTTTTTTTGTCGAAAGTATTAGTATTAATGCGCCCAGACCACATATTATTAATATAGACGATCTCACAAATTTCTAAATTCTAGTATTCTCGATACCATTATTAGTTGTTTCAAAAACATAGATGGTTTTGGAATATTTTTCAAATGATAATTAATTATTGTCCCCATTATCATGATTATTTTGTGATGAGACTATAGATGTCGTTTTCGACTAAGAATTTTGGTTGGGCGTTGCTTACGAATTTCAATTCTCGGATGATTCATTCAATAAAGAATCATTATTCTCATTTAACTACGAACGCAACTTAGGTTTGACTCTCAACTACTACTTCATTATTTTTCATTTGAATAAGTCTTGGTCGCATTAATTTCCTTTCTTCAAATTCTAAAAATATTCTTTTTACTCACCGATATGCTGCTCGGAAGGGATGTCTGTTTCATCCCGAAGCTACGACTAGAAGCTTGCGAGGATGTATCAAGACTCCTCCTTGGTTGTGTATAACTAGGAACAAAATGATTCAATCCGGATGAGGATGCATGTGTCGAACTATTTTGTTGACGATATGAGGAACTGCTTGATGGCGGTAGGGACGGGGGACATTGTCTCCTCCCGGCATCATAATTCGTGAAATAATTCTTCGTCTAAAAGTTTTTTTTTTTTTTTAAAAAAAAAGAAAAAAGGAACATTATTAAATTTATTTTTTTTTTATCAAGGATAAAATTTTTATAAAAAACTTAAATAAAAAAAATAAAATTAAATTAAATAAATAAAAGAATAAATAAAAATAAAATGACAACTAACGTTTAACTTGACTTCGGTTATCCACTCATGCATTAATCCCTCATCAGGCTTCATTCGCTTTTCGGGATCCCATTGTAGACATCTTGATATGAAGTCTAGAAAGACTTCATCTTGGCAACTTAAGGCACTTGACAAGGTCTTACTGTTTGGCCTTCGTCGTTTACCTTTAGAATTTACAAATGGTCGTGGATTTCCGTTGGTTTCTAAAATATAAATAAATATAATATAATTATTAATCCTACCATCCATATAAACATATATAAAAGAACAAAATATTGTTAAATTCAATAATACCGAAGAAGAGTTTCTTTCTTGCACTCTTATCTACGAGATAACGTTCCGGGACTCCTTGAACTTCCATTATACATGCCAATTGTTCTTGTTCTCCCTCCCCTGGGAACAATGGGTATCCTAAAAATAATAATAATAATTTTTTAGTTACACCAATTTTCCCGATCTATGTTAGATCAAAATTTTTTTTTAAAAAAAAAATAGATTATAAGTACCTGTATATAATTCAGCGAGAATGCATCCGAGACTCCACATATCTATCGCCATATTATACGTCATCCCTAATATGACTTCGGGTGATCGGTAAAAACGACTTTGAATGTAGGTATATACTTTCTCGTTCTCAAAACAACTACTACCAAAGTCAATGACTTTGATGCTGCTTTTTGTTGGATGTTTCAATAGAACGTTCTATTTTTTTATTTTTTTATTTTAAAAAAAAATAACGATGAAAAAAATTATATCATTAATAATAATAATAATAATAATATAATGAATTTAATAATGATAATAATAATAAACAAATACCTCTGGCTTTAAATCACAATGGACGATATTATGCTTTTGGAGCAGCGACAAAGAATTAAGAAGCTGAACGCAAAAGCTATAAATCATAATCATAATAATAATAATAATAATAAATATTATGGATTAATAAAAACATTCACGTTTTAATACGTTTTATATATATATATAATTGTAAATAGATTATAAAAAATACATACCGTTTTATCAAACCAAGACTAAATCCATGGAATCCATTGCTCTTGATGAACTCATATAAATTAATACTTAGAAGTTCAAATGCAATACATAAATGATTCCGGAAATAAAAGTGATCATCCATGTGAATAATGTTATGAGAATTGTCAGGATCCTAGAAAAAAAGAAGGTATCATTTCAAGTTAATAAAGTTAATAGATAAATAGATAGATAAATAGATAGATAGATAGATATAAAAAGTAAGATAGTTCACCCAGTTATTCAAATTCTCCAAAATCTTCACTTCAACTAATGCTTGACAGTGGAATCTCTTCTTATTCCTAATAATCTTTATGGCAACATATTCTCCGGTCTTATGATCCAAGCACTTTAAAACTTGTCCAAAGGATCCTTTCCCAACACTATCCACCACCTCATAACGATAGCACAGGTGATCACCCGTGACGACCAAATAATCCCCTCGCTCATCGTCATAACCAAAGTTACAGGAAGGTGTATCAGGACTTGCCGCAGCTTTCAAAGCATTTTGACCAACGAAATAAACATCTTTGAATGACTGAATTTCTTGTCGTTCGTATAATGATAGGTAAGGTGCATATGCCTTTAGAGCGGCGCTTGGACTCATCGGTGCTGTTCCTCTCGATTGGGTTGATTGATCTTTCTTATTCGTTGAAGATTCGGAGAAGAAATTGGTTGATTCCTCACAGCTCATACGTTCTTCGGAATGTTTATTATTATTATAAACGCTAGGGGTACTAGCGCAAGATGATGATGAGTTAACCTCCGAGATTGATGTTTCTTTGGTGGTATAAGAGTTAAGGAGACTTGATGTAGAGGAACTTGGTTGAATAGGTTGTGAAGTTGTTCTTGGTTTACGAATTCCTCCCGATATTGATATGCTACTCGTTGGAGTTTTTGAAGTTGAGGTGTTATTATTACTATTACTTTTGTTTGAAGAAAAGATACTAGCAATAGTTGAAGAAAGACGCCTTTGACGTTTTGAAGGTGCTCTTGCAACCGCTTTAAAAAAAAAAAAAAGTTTCGAAAATATTAATATAATTATTCAATATTATAATATAATTTAAATGATATTATATGATTAAATAATATATGATTCATTACTTACTTTTATTTTCACTAGCAGTCTTACTAGGACTTTTTCTTTCTATCGAGGACAAAGATATTTGACTACCATTACTATGTAATGTACCTCGTGTATTTGTCGATTTGGCATTTGAACTTTTTCCGCCATTTGGGGATGCTAAACAACCACCAAATTTTGGAGTTCTAGGTTGAATTAAAGTTGGGGTAGGAATTTTTGTGGAAGTTGGAGTAATAGTAGATCTAAGACCAGAAGTGGGAGTCTTCGATTTGATATGTGGATTTGAAACTTTGGGGATCTTCACATTTGTTGGTAAAGCCGGAATATTAAACGGAGGTAAGTTAAGAGCAGCAAGTTGAGTAGGAGCCATATTGGCTGGAAGTGTCTGTATCAAAAAAAAATAAAACAAAAATAATAATAAAAATAAGTGGACTTAACAATGAATTAATACAAAAACAATTCCAACCTGTCGTCTAGCGATCTTTTCATTCTGCTGTTGGATCGTCATCTATCGTAATTATATTAAAACCATTTATTTTTTTTTTTTTAATTTTCATATATATATATATATAATGTTTATATCGTTATTATTATTAATTATTATTAATATTATTATTATAATTAAAATATTATTATTATTATTATTATTATAAATTATAAAAAAAAAGCTAAATATTAAACTATAATTTTTTTAACTATAAAAATAATAAAATTAAAATAAATAAATAAAATAAATTTGAAACTTACCGTGCCTCTTGGTCTGGTGGTGGTTTTTATTTTCTTATGACCATCAGTACTTTTACTATTATCTCTTCTACCACGTGGTGAGACATCCCCACTTTTTGCACTAGGGGAAATCACCACCATCTTTTTTTCATTATTGTATATCGTATTCAAAGTTCCAGACGATGACGATGACAATGATGAATTCCTCATTGAACCGGGTAATGGTGGTACCGGTGGAATTTCTTCATTAATTCTAATCGGTTTTGGTTGTGGTAATAAACTTGGAGTATCCTTTGAATTTTGTCGATATGAATTTGTGGTGGGTGTAGTATTTCTACTTGATGCAGTCTTTGGTGATAATTGATTAGGTGAACTAGATAGATTTGATGATGCTGTTACAGATTTTCGTCGTTTGTGATGAGTAGTGGTATGTGTATGGGTGGTAGTGGTAGTAGAAGTAGAAGAAGCAGCAGTAGTAGTAGAAGAAGAAGAAATAGTTGTACCAGAAGTATCTAAATGATCCGGTTCAATTAATTTAGAAGAAATACCTTGAATATTTTTAGATAATGGTGAAAAATGTCCAACACTACTATAACTAAGACTACGAATAGGAATTGATGGAAGTGATTTTGAATTTAAAAGTGAACTATCATGATGAATTATAGGTAAAGTTTTAGGTTTACCAACATCGGGTGATGGAGTTCGATTATAAGATTGAAAATCGATTGAATCAATATCCAAACTTATTTGATGAATTCCTGATAAAGTAGATGATTTTCCAATAGAATTTTTATTATTACTTTTATTACTACTCTTTTTATTATTAGTTTTTTGTTTTGAAGTAAATTCTTTAAATGATTCCATTTGTTCTATTGCACGAACTTTTGCTTCCAAAGATGATGGATCCAATGTTTTTCGTTTATCATTACCCCTTCCATTTAAGGAAGATTGACGAAGTCTCTCTTCCGAACGTGAATTTTTTAAGGATTTTCTTTTTTCCACACCATTAACTCCATTAACATCATTATTACCACTAACATTATCTGAATTCACATCTACTCGAGCATTTGTTGTTATAGCAACTCCAATACCAGCACTATCACTAGCATATCGACTGTGACCATGTCCCCAATTACCTGATTTTGATAGACTACCTACAACTGGTTTTGCAGAAGATATTCTCCTTCTTGAATCATAAGAAGTTGATAATTGACTAATTGATGAATCATTTCCTGAAGGTCTTAATATATCTTGATTACTCGTACGTCTATTTAGTGAAGGTTTAATTGGAGTAGGTTGAGTAATATTTATACGTCTTGTTGTAATTTTTGATTTGTCTGATCTAATAATTAAAACGATATCGAAATATGTATATCAACATATCATATGATAATGTATCCCCATTAAAAGAAAAAATTCAAAAAAAAAAAAAAAAAAAAAGAAATTTAAAAAAATTTTTTTTTTTTTCAAAAAAAAAAAAAAAGAAAAGAAATTTAAAAAAGAAATAATCAGTAATGAAAATTTTAAAAATAAAAATAAATAAATAAATATATATATATATATTATAAATATTAAATATTAAATATTATAATTTATATATATATATATATATATATATTTTTTGTAGTATTGAGAGAATTCATATAGTAGTAATTAATTACCCCGATTCATCATATAATAAACTTCTATCATCATTTTCATTTTTTTTATTTTGAAATAAATTCTTCATTCTAGCCATCACTTCATTGGAATGACTGTCGATTTGATTTTCCACCATTTGAAGTTCATTAAATGTCTTCAAAGCTTCTTCCGTAGCAGCTTTATATTTACTTCTTTGTTTCGATGATGATGATGATAACGATGAAGATGACGACGTCGATGATGTTGCGTCGGTTATCGTCGTTGAATTCGTTGAAGATGATGAATTATCTTTAATTTGTTTTTGACTAGCTTTCCTTCGAAGTTTGGTTGGAGTTGTGGCAGTAGATTGACGTTGTGATGATGATGATGATGATGATGGTGTCGTCGGTGATCGTTGTTGCTCATTTTGATAATAATAATTATTATTATTACTGTTACTATTATTATTATTATTACTACTACTACTACTATTATTATTATTATTATTTTTATTTTTGGTTATGTCTATTAAGTCCAATAATTTCGACATTTCCGATTTCCCTTCTCGAGGTTTTTTATTAATACTATTTGATTTTCTATGAGGTGAAGGGGCAACTCTTTGTGAATTCATTGGTTGTGATGAAGACGAGGATGATGACAATGTAGATGTATTGGCGGTACCACCATTACCACTAGAATTTTTTAAAGAAGATTGTTGAAACCAGGAAGGAAGATCAGGTACATTTGGAATATTATTATTATTATTATTATTATTATTTGATGATGATGATGATGGTGGTGGTGATGTTACCGAAGATACATTGTTTTTCTTATAATTCGAGGAAATACTAGATGAACGTCGTGGTGTGGAAGATTTTTGTGCGGAGTCTATCATTTATAAATTAATTAATTGTAAAAGTTAATTGTAAATGAAAAATATTGAAATATTTAATTAACTGATATAGTCCTTTAACGAAATGAATAATAAATAAGTAAAGAATATAAATAATAATCTATATTATATTATAATAATGATATTATAATGGTGATATAATAAGAAAATTATTAACACTAGCTAATAGATAGATAGATAGATATATATATAATATTATATTATATGTATAATATATTAAACATATGTATAATATATTATGTAATTATTTAAAACTTGATAACTATTTAAAACTCGATTCCAAAGATCCACTTTTCCATTATTCCTTACTATTTCCGCAATTCTTAAATTAATTTCTTATTAAATTTATTAAATTTTTTTAATTCTCAAATAATTTTTCTCAAATAATTCTTTTAAAATTAAATTTTTTATTAAAATCCACTTTTATATATATTATTCTTTAAATATATTAATAAATAAAATCTAAAAAAAAATAGGATCATAATAATAATAATAATAATGATGATGATGATAAAATAACTTACCTAAAACGTTTAGAGATACTTCACTGGGAGACATACAATTCGATTTAGTTGATTCAACCGAAGAAGTAGAGGAATTAGTAGAAGAAGTAGTAGAAGAAGTTGAAGAAATAGAAGAAGTAGAACGAGTAGAAACTTTAGGAGTTGTTGAAGGTGAAGAAAGGTCGGCTGGTTTAACAGAAGATGATTTTTGTAGTAATCTTCTCTGCTGTGACAACAAAAGAGAAGGCTTAGGTTTTTGTTGTTGTTGTTGTTGTTGTTTCGAAAGTGTTGATAAAACTGGTTGACTATTGTTATTTGAATTATTTAAAGGAGCAAGTGATGAGGTACGCTTTCGTCTGGTAGGTATTATGGAAGTTTTTTTTGTTTTTGTTTTTATATTTGAATTTAATAAAGTAGTTGGAGTCAAAGTTTGTACTGGAGATTGCATGAGGTCATTCTAAGCTGGGTAAAGGATATATATATAAACTGGTCTCGAACCTTTTTTTAAAAAAAATAAAGAAATAAATATACAAGGAAACAACGACAGGTGTCTTTTTTTTTTTAGTTCGTTGCTTTAAAACGTCGTTTTTTTTTTAAGGAAAAGTCCTTCTTTTATGGATTTTATGGTCGTTTTTTAGATTTAAAAAAAACACACAAGTTTTTTCGTTCTTCTAATAGTAGAGAGATATATATATAGTTATTCTACCAACACAATAAAAAAAAATAAAGATTTCAAAATTCCCACAGCTAAGATTTTATCTTTTATAAATATCTTCCTTCTATAATAAATTAATAGAATAAAATTAATGAAATAAAATTAACAGAATAAATTAATAATAGAAGAAAGTAGAAATAAATATTTTTTTTTTAAAAAAAAAATAAGGGAGTCAACAATAAGGCTAGTTGATAATAATACTAATATCGTAGTATTTATACATGCATGCGTACCTTGTGAACAGAAACGATAGAAAAAAGAGAAAAAAAAAACTTTAAATAAAAATAACACTTCAAAAATACTAAATAATTTAAAATTATTTAAAATATCTTAAAATATATATGTGTGTGTGTGTGTGTGAAGAAAGGAAAGAAAAAAAAAAAAAAGAAAAAGAAAAAGGCCCGAAAATAAAATAAAATAGAAAAAAAAATATTATTCAAAAAAACATACACCACAACCCAGAGCAAGCTAGTTACTGTACTTCTAAGTTTACTTTTGGATATTCTTACCACCACATCATTTTTACCCAGATTGTTCACAACTCAAATAATCAAATAATCACCATCATTATCATTATATTCAAAATTATCATATCTGAGAATAATATATTGCATCTTTAATTATATATATATGTATATAAATATCTTAAATATATATATACAACTGTAATTATATAATTATAAAATAATGTCATGATATATTTTTTTGGATAATGAAGGAATTTTACATTATTATGGATGAAATAATATGGATATTATGACATTTTTTTTTTTATGATAATAATAAATAAATAAATAATACACGATATATCATATAAATGACTTGGGTATTGTGATGAATGATAACCTCACATGCCGAATTACGTAAATTCCGTATTTAATTAGTATGAATTTGTATTTTCGGATCTTCTTTTTTTTAAATAGATTGTGATGTTTAAGGAAGTTCTAAAAATGTGATACTGTACGAGTACGTAGAATATTGCACAACATCGTTTAATATAAATTGGGAACAAGAAGTTGATTAGGTGATATTATTAATGTGGGTTAATGTTGTTTATTATTATTTATTTATTTATTTATTATGATTATTATAAAAGTTATTTGTTATTATTATTATTATTATTATTATTATTATTATTAAAGTATTAGTTATTATTAAAGAGTTATTTGTTATTATTATTATTAAAGTATTAGTTATTATTAAAAGTATTAGTTATTATTAAAAGTATTAGTTATTATTATGATTATTTTTTATTTTTATTTTTAGTTATTATTAATAATTATCATTTATTATTATCAATTATCAATTATCAATTATTTATTATTTTTATTATTATAATTACAAAATATTATTTATTTTATCAATCATCATCATCATCATCATAATCATAATCAAAAAAAAAAATGCATAACAAATATCTTAAAAATTACACAAAGTTAACACGTTTATTTCAAGTTTGGTGTGTGCTTACCTTAATAGATGAGAAATTAATTAGTGGGTAAAAAATATCCTTTAGGCTAATTTTGAAATAAACAAAGAAAATAAAAAGTGGCGTTACGTTTAATTAATATTTTGGAGATATGATTAAGAAAAATAAATAAATAAATAAAATGATTAAATAAATGATTAATTATAAATGATTAAATATAAATGATATAAAAATAAATAAATGATTAATAAAAATAATTAAATAAGATATATAAGATATGGGGATATATGAAAAATAAAACGTGTGAAAATATCTTATTAAAATAATAAACTAAATAATTAATAAACTAAATAATTTAATTAATAAGCTAAATAAAATAAAATTACTAAATAATTTAATAAACTAAAATAAACTAAGTTAAAATAAGTTAAAAATGAGTTAAATCATAAAAAAAAAAATTAAGGGGAAATTTGAAATTTCACAGGGTTATAAAAGGGTGAAAAGGATATTTTTCATACATTTAAGGGGACAGGAAGAGAGAGAGAAAAAAATGATAAGCTAATGAATTATGAAACTTATTGAAAAAACATTCACGCTATACATTTGATAATCCCTAATTACATCATCATCATTAATAATCAATTTATTAAATTTAATAGGATGAAAAAATATTATTAATCTTAGTTAAAATTCTTTTTTCAAAACTATCATTGATGCTAAACGTGGTTAATGATCACGGATTCTCATTTAATATGTGCACGGATTCTCATTAGTACGAGTACGTTAAGTGTAATCTCTGATCTGATAAATTAAAACTACTCAATTTGTTTGTCCACGTGATCTAATAACTTTAAGTAACCTTAATTTTTTGAATTTACCAGAACTATACTAACGATAAAATAGTCTAAACATCGTGAAAAGATTGAATTAACAATTAATTAATTCATTTTATTTCATTTTAAATATCGTACTATTAATTTCGTCAATTAGCGATCACCTTTTTATTATTATTAGTGCATGTGGGCAGCTGCGGGTGATCAAAGAAATATTAGCTACATTTTACATATGCCCTGAATATGTTTTTTTGCGGAGATAAATTATTGAGATCACATGACTTAATTGACTATCATTTGGGAATAATAATAACATATATTTATATATATATACACATATATTAGCAAGATTCTTATACATTCAATAAATAAGTTTCAAAAAAAAAAAAATGCGCTGGAGAGTCACCGAAGGTCATTGGGTCAACGGTGGAGAGTTAGTGAGGTCATTGATATCACCAATTTTTTTCAGTGTAGCAAACTTCAATGCACAGATATATGGATATATGTGAATATAGATATATATATATAAATAAAATAACTTTATATATCTTTACACGACACAAAAATTCTATTATAAAAGGACAAGTAAGTTTGTGATCAGTTTTTGGTAAAACCATAAAACATTATCTGCATTATAATAATACTATTTAGAAAAAGAATGAATTACTTAATTACCCTTTGGTTTTTCCTCCGCCTCCATTGGGTATGAGATTTGCAGTACCACTCGCTAATAATAAAATATATACAATTTAAATATTCCATTAAAAAATTCTATTTCTATCACAATTTCTATATTCAATTTCTATTTTTCATTCTATTTCTATTAAAAAAAAGTACCAATGGAAAATAAAATCGTCAAAGATCACGTGTAGAATGTACGTGTTTATAATTATCCTAAACTTACTTTATTTGGTACATTATAATGTTCGAAGTTTGACAGATACAAGTTATAATACACAAATAAAAAGAATACACAATATATATATATAATACAGTACAGAGCACATGTCAATATGAACAATATCCGAAATTGTAATGGCCAATTATTATTTTTTTTTGACAAAGCAGTAGTAATTAATCCATTGTTACAAAACTCAAACAACATAACAACAACAGCAACAAACGACAACAGAAACGACAACAACAACAAGAATAGATTTATTGATCTTTTTTTTATTTCGTTCGTATTTTTTATCTTCATTATTATTTATTATTATTATTATTATTATATTATTATTATTATTATTATTATTATTATTATTATTTATTATTATCATTATTATTCTGTATGCCGAGTGTTTATTATTGTCGTAATAAACTGTAATAAACGTATATTTAGGTTTCTTGTTCTTTCTTTTCCAAATTAGATAACACAATAATTAAATAACAAATATTTGATATAATGGTAAAAATTCTATTGTTACATTATTTATGATTTAATAAATAAATTCAGCTAATTTTTTTTTTTTTATATATAAATTAAATAGAATAAAAACAAAAACAGAATAGAAAAATAAATAATTTAATAAACTTAAATTTAAAATAAAATAAAATTTAATGAGGCAGGAAATTTATGAAATTAACTAAATTTATCCAGTGCAGTGTATATATATATATTTTTCAAATAATGTCAAAAAAAACAAACATTTCAAAAATCATTTTAAATTATTTTTAGAATTATTTTTGGAATTATTCAATTTATTATAAGAACAATTATACATAAATTCTCTATTCATCGATTCATCTTTTCAATTTCGTTCTATTCTATATTCATATATGCTCACCAAATTCATTGCATCTTTTTTTTTTTTTTTAATTGACAATTACTTCTTTTCGGGTATCTTTCTTGGATACTTTTATGGTACCTTTCTAGAATTTTTTTTGGTTTCTTTTTCTTTCTTACATTATTAATATTCTTCTTCTTCATGCGTAATAATACAATAATTTCATAATATAATAACATTAGATATAATTGAATTTCTATTTATTTATTTCGATTTGATGAATGAATGATTAGACATATACTATATATACAAATCTAGAAGGAAAATAAAGATATATCAGTTAAGCGCGCGTTAATTAAGATTAGAAAAAAAATTTTTTTTTTATAATATAAAAATTGTCTTTGTTTATTTTATTTTTTTTATTTTTTTGCAGTTATTTCGTTTTTTTTAATGGATCAAACAAAATATAACAATATAATTTTTGTTTTTTTTTTAGATGTATTATCTTTTAAATAATGGTAAAAAGACGTATTATCTATTAAATGGTGATAAAATAATTTTTGTTTTGCAACTCATGAACAATTGAAATATATCACTTTCAAAAAATTTCAAGAAGGTTAATAAATTAAGTTACTTATAAATGATGCTGCTGAATTATCAATAAATTTATTTATTTTGATAAATGATTAATACAAAATATTCCAAAATAATATATGAATAAAATATAATAAAATATAATAAAAAACTAAATAATAAATAATAATAATAAAAAATTAAATAATAAAATAAAAACTAAATAGTGAAATCACAATTATTATTAGATTTTTAAAGTCGATCTCGAAATTTTCTTGAATTGATTTATAATCCTTAAACTGTTATAACCTATATAAGTACGTGCTAATAATCCAAAATAAAAAAAAATATATCTAAAATTGGTTCTTGCGTTCTGGATCAAATTTCAATGTTAATTATAAGTCAAAATATTTAATTTTATTATTTTTATAATATAAATTGGGAACTTACCGATCAACATCAACTTAGTGAAATCATGGAATTTAAAGGTCTACTTGTATAAATTGCTTCTGAATGACAACTGCTATAATTATTTCCTTCTTATTCTTCTAAAAATTTCAATTCAACAGAAATTTTTCTTATTGCTCGGCTTGAATAAATTGATCTCGATTTTCTTTTTTTTCCCCAACACCATTTATAAATTTGCTCTTTAATTTCTTTTATATTTGATCTATCAACTGGATTTGAATCCCAATGTCTCAACATTAAATTATTGAATACATCTGGAGTATCAATAGTAATTTCTGCTCTTAATCCACCTCTGATATTACACATGAGTTCAGAATTATGAGATCTATTAAAAAAGGTTTATGACCTGATGTAAAAGCCCACATTAAAATTCCAAAACTCCATATAACGGAAGCTTGACTATATGGTGAACCGTTAAATATTCAGGTGCAACTTAAGGTATTACTCATATACATAAGTTGACGAAGTATCAATATTTCTACAAAATCCTAGATCAGCGAACCGTTTCCTGAATGAAGATCTCCATGTATCAGTTTATTATTATGAATTTGTTCAATTCTATATAACATAGCAATTTTAAAGTTGGTATTTACATTTACTTAATTAAATTCAATAAATTAATCTGCAATACAATATAATCTTTCTAACTTTGTTTGCCAAGCAATTTTATCAAAATTTAGCATTAAGTTCCCATGTAAACTTCCATCTTCTGTAAATTCCATTATCATAAAATTACTATTTGTATTAGGATATTTGGTTATTCCATAGCATTGTATAATAAAATCAAATCACTAGAACTTGTTATTCCATGAGATATGGTGTGACGATCCTCCTTAGAAGCATAATTGTGGCGAATACCATTCATTTTCTCGTAAAGAGAAAAGAGTTCTTTTAGTTTGATATTGCCTATTTAATAGTTTCAAATTTAATAAATAAAATTAGTTAAAATTTAATTTACTTGACTCTGTTATTATTCTAGATACAATACAGTTTGTTACTTCTTTGTTTTAAAATCAATTATTGGATTGTTATGGTTTCTATTATTAGATTTAATGCTTTAATATCAAATCATCAAGTGTTTGTATTTATTTAATAATATGTATATTACTTAATATGTATATTACTAAATCTATAAAAATAGTGTTTCATTATACTTTATGTAAAACAATAAGAATTTTTATTTCGGCTGACTTTTAAGATACAATTCATAATTGCACATTTTTTGCAGACAATATATTTTGGAAGACATTAGTTTAGTAATTAATCCAGAACCCAATATTATTGTTAATTAATTTATAAAATTTCTAACATTTATTAAAGAAAGGTTTTTTTTATCTTTTTATACTATATAATAATGTAATCTTCAAATAGAATTGTCCTGCAATTCTTAATTTTGAAGATAAATTAAGAAAAGTGAAGTGATAGGACTATTTCTTTAACTTTTTACTTAATAAAATAACATTAGAAAGATTATCTAAAATTATCAATAAATAAAGTACTTAACTCAATTAACAAAATGGCTCAATTTATATTTAGAAATACAGTAACCAAATGATTATTGATTATAGTTATTTATACTATTTCAAACCACTTGACACGAAATATTGAGTTAACAAATAAGTAAAAATCAAAAATATAATAATAATCACAAATTTTTATTAGATATCAAAGTCGATTTCCAAATTTTCTTGAACTGATTTATAATCCTTAACTGTAAAAGTATAATATTAAATTATATAAGTAAACGTCAATAACTTAGAATGTTAATTTTAAAAATTCAGAATAAAAATGCATAAATTACCTTCTGAATGTTCCCTATGACCTATAAAATTTCAAGAGATTAATTATTATCCATCAAAATTATTTTTCATTTTTTATGACATAATTAAAACTTACCAATTAACTTAGAATTTAAAGGTCTACTTGTATAAATAGCTTCTGGATGATAATTATTTTTATTATTATAAATTCCCTCCAATTCTTCTAAAAATTTCCTTTCTACAGAATCTTTTCTTTTGTTTTCAGCTTGATAGAATTGATCTTCGTTTTCTTTTTCCAAGCACCATTTATAAAATTGCTCTCTAATTTCTTTTATATTTGGTCTATTAAGTGAATCTGAATCCCAACATCTTTTCATTAAATTACTAAATACCTTTGGTGTATCGTCAGTAATTTCTGGTCTTAATCCACCTACAATTTTATACTTGAGTTTAGAATTATGAGGTCTATTGGAAAATGGTCTATGACCTGATGTAAATTCCCACATTAACATTCCAAAACTATATATGTCAGAAGTTTGACTATATGATGAATCTTTAAATATTTCAGGTGCAACATAAGGTGTTATTCCATAAACAAAATTTGTTGAAATATCAATATCAATATTTCGACATAATCCTAAATCAGCTATCCTAATTGAACCAAGAATTCCATTAACGCCCATTAGAATGTTTCCTGAATGAAGATCTCTATGTATCAAATTATTACTATGAATTTCTTCAAGTCTACATAATAATTGTGATGTAAGTTAACATATAAATTTACTTAATTAAGCTCAATAAATTAAATACATACCCTGTTGCAATACAATATAATCTTTCCAACTTTGTTTGCCAAGTAATTTTATCAAAATTTAGCATTAAGTCCTCATGTAAACTTCCACCTTCTGCAAATTCCATTACCATAATATTGTTATTAGTATTAGGATCTTTGGTAATTCCATAGCATTGTATAATAAAATCATTAGAATTTGTTATTCCATGAGCTATTACCTATTTAGTTATTAAATCAAATTCATTAAAAAATGATAAAATTAGCTAAAATTTAAATCAATTGAATTTAAATAGAAAAGACATACTTCTTTCAAAAATTCATCAGTCATATCTTTAGAATTATGTAGATTTTTAAGTGCCACCTTGATTTCATTTTCTTCATCTTTGATCCAAATAGCACTGTTTACTACTCCAAAACCACCTTCTGCTATAAATTTTATATTTTTGAATTGAGAATATGGAATCCTTTTTATTAACTCACTTGATTTTGTTATTATGCCTTGAACCATTTTAGATTCAGTTTGCTGCTGCTTTTGTGTCTTAGTATCGTTTATTAATTTGTTTTTGCTTTTCTCTGTTTCTATTATTAGATTTAATATTGAGATATCATCTGGATATACTTTCAGGACTTCATTAAAATCATCAAGTGATTCTTTGTATTTATTTAATTTCCTGTAAACCATTCCTCGAAATTTTAATGCAAGAGCATTATTTGGTTCTATTTTTAATATTTCATTATATTTATCAATAATTTCTTCACGCAAATCTAGGTTAAGAGTATCTGAAAAAGATTTACTAAAATCTATACATGCTTCATTATGCATTTTTAATTTTTGATAGGTTTCTCCTCGTAATCTTAATGCAAGAGTATTATTTGGTTCTTTTTCTAATAAATTATTAAAATTATTTAATGAGCCATAATACCATCCTAACTTTAGACAGATTTCTCCTCGTAATCTAAATACAAGAGTATTATTTGGTTCTTTTTCAAATAAATTATCAAAATCTGTTAATGCTTCACTATACTTTTCTAACTTTTGATAAGTTTCCCCTCGTAATCTTAATGCAAGAGTATTATTTGGTTCTTTTTTTAATAAATTATTAAAATCAATTAATGCTTTATTATATTGTTCTAACTTTTTATAAGTTTTGCCTCGTAATCTTAATGCAAGAGTATTATTTGGTTCTAGTCCTAATGATTTATTAAAATCTGTTAATGCTTCACTATACTTTTCTAACCTAAAATAAGTTTCCCCTCGTAATCTTAATGCAAGATAATTATTTTGTTCTTTATCTAATAAATTATTAAAATCTGTTAATGCTTCATAATACCTTTCTAACCTAAAATAAGTTTCCCCTCGTAACATTAATGCAAGAGCATCACTTGGTTCTTGTTCCAATGATTTATTAAAATCAATTAATGCTTCACTGTACTTTTCTAATTTTAAATAAGTTTCTCCTCGTGACATTAATGTAAGATAATTATTTGGTTCTAGTCCTAATGAT